TTTAGGGATGTCTAAAAATATAAGAATTCAAAATTTCAATACAAAAATATCTAAAATTTCGGATATTCTATATTTTTGGATATAACTTATATCCGGAAATAGTAATTTTGTAAATTTCCCAGATATTTTGTATATCCCAAATCTAAAATATATAACTTTTTGGTATTCTCCATTTGAAAATTTAATAGTGAGAGTTGGGACTAGGCTTTAGTTTATTAACCTAGACTTTAGTCAGTAAATTTTTTACATGGTTTTTCATGTTTCTTTAATATTTTTACTTTTCTTGTGATTTGGTGTAGCGAAGTGATTCAAGTGTATAAGCATAAAGCATTAAGCAATCCTCAAGAACGGATTTATCAACCCAACATCAACTGAAACCCTGAAACGGCTTCTTGGGGGTATTGTTATTTTTCTTGTGTTTATACTAAGATTTAGACCAATGATCCCAACATATTCCACAGAAAAAGGTTGGTGTCACCATTGTTCCAGAAATTAAAATTTAAAAAGAAACAAATTGTACATCTCTACTCTATTAATGCCCCTACCTCACCAACAATATACCTCTCATTGTTATGAGAAAATAAATAAATAAATCACCAATAAGTTATACCCCAATTACACCCACCCCACCCCTTCATAACTTATTATATATGTTACAATACAACTAAGCAGTTAATGTATCTAGAATTTTAAAAACTTATGCCACTTCATACACAACCAGTTGCATATTAACAAGTTGCAATAACTGTTCCAATGCTTCTACACATACATAGAATCAATAAAAGTACAATTACTTTATCAAAGTTCTTCAGTTGACTCAAAGCTCTCATAAACCGGAGCTTCAAAAACATCAGCCTCCTCAGACACTTGAGATTCTTCAGACAAATACAAACCCACATAACCCATGACCATTTCAAGAAACGAACCCCCATACCCATTTTCACCAACACTTTCCTCCAGTTGACCAACAATTTCCTCTATTTGACCAACATTCTCCTCCCGTTGACCAACATTCTCCTCAAATTGACCAAACCCAAGCAAGAAATGAACACCATTAGCAATATCATAAACCATAAGCCCAATCCTTCCACCAATCCAACTTCCAAATTGACTTCCAACCAAATACCCAAATCGCCCAAACCTTTCTTCCCCTAAATACCCTACAAAATAAGTCCCAAACAATGTTCCTGTACCCCTAAGAAACCCTTCAGTCACAGTTCCTCCATAGTAAATGGCTTCAAAGAAATCCCACCCGGATGATATAATCGGGCCTATGATCCGTTTAGCTTTCCGGGTCGCCATTTTTGCAGCTTTCGCTCCGTCTTTTTGGGCTTGTTTTGCAGCAGCTTTGGCTTCCATGCCTTGGGAAATTGCATCTGCTAGTGATGCTTCGATTGCTTTGTTTCTTGCTACTTCAACATGAAGTGTTCTGATGTTGTATGTGTAAAGTTTCACACTTTCTTTTACTATGCATGCTAATGTTCCTGAACCCCCATCTAAACAGTTGAAGATGGTGAACTTTCCACTTTGGGATGATCCCGTTTCTCCAACCATTTGTCTGCATTTTTCAGCTGAAAAAAAAAAGGAATATATGAGACACAGGGAGTAATGAACTACTAAAATAAAGAATACTTCCCTTGATACTTGATAAATCACATAAAAAACTGACAGACAATCAAATGAAATTCAAATAAGATATATTACAAAAGATTGATATCCGTTATCCAAACAAAGGGGTTTATGGAAAACATAATCCACAGGTGTTGATTCAGATAATCTGTGAAAGTTTCAAGTGTACACATAACACTCACACAGCAACCCATCTTTTATATTTATTAAGATGCGTAACAAGTGAATGCCTGGATCTACTATAATATTTCCATCTAGTTTCCCAATCTATGATTCATTTAACCCTGCATCGAAGGAGACTCAAATACTAAAAGAACCAAGACCCTTGATTTTCTTTATAAATTTTCAAAATCATTGACTTCTGAGGTCAACCCTTGTACTTCTCTAGTTCAAAGACATGTTTAAATTCAGTTAGAATATTCTAATTGCAGTAATCTTGCCACCGGATTATAGAGTTTATACAACTGTCAAAGTTTTATGCAACTTATATTGTTTTAGAAGTTGAATCACATAGTATGACCTCAAAAGTGGAATGATAACTCTCTATTTTCTCAGAAAATGCACCAAACCATATCAAATCTTGAGTTACTATAACGAATTTGGTTTCAGTTTATATGATGAGTTCCCTACTAATTCAGATCAAGGTGTATTGTTTCCTTAACTCCTTCTGCAACAAATACCCTTTTTCCTTCTTTTAACATAATAACGAGGAATACAGAGCAAAAAATTGTATAGAAGAATCTAAACACTACAGTAGAAGAACACTGGAATAGGTTTGTACCTGTGAAACTGAGGACGATAACGCCAACAATAAAACCAAGAAATTGGATTCTCTTCTTCTGGAAATCCATAACACGCGCTCAGATGATAACCCTAAGACCCCTACTAATCGAACTGATCTTGGAGTGTCTATAAGATTACCGATTCATGAATTTGAAGCAAGGTATCGATTCGTCACCACGCCAGAATCTGGAACTGCTCTCTAGTTCGATTTATCTTTTGGTCAATCGTCGGCGGCTATTGGCGTAAGAGGGAAGACTATTATTATCACACCAGAAGAAATGGTTAAAATGGTACCGGTAAAAAAAACAAATTTGGATAAATAAGAACGCATTATTATTAAATTATTTATCGTAATATCTTATTTTTATTATACGCTTATAGCAACATTATTTATAGATATAACTGAAAAAATAGTTCCTGTGGTATGTATTTTTTTTGGGGTTCTAGTTCAAACCACAATTTTTTTGGATTGTTAGTCCTTTTGAACTAGTTTGTACGTGGAAAATGTCCCTCCTCAAATTGAAAAGAGTAAAATACCCTTAATATATTTATTTTTCATTTTTCTTTCTTTTTTAACTGTTTTATAATTAATAAATAAATACAAAAATGACTCTCTCTCTCTCTCTCTCTCTCTCTCTTCCAATTTTTCTGTAAGTTCACCCCCTACCAGATTGGAATTACCATCTCCGTCGAGACCAAGCATCCACCTTTGATGGAGCCTCCACCGGTAACAAGTTTCACTCCTCTTCACCATTTCTTCTTCTTCTACCTAATCTAAAAATTTGATCTCCACCATTTGACTAGGGGCACTGAGAACCAGATAACGATGATAAAGAATTACACGCAAATCGGTGATAGGTATGGCGGTTCATAGAGTCGGAGATGTAGCCATATGGAACAAATCAATTAGTCATCAATAAGATGTGTTTGCATCGAGGATTAATCTGTTAATGACGCTAAAAAGAAGAATGGATCAAAACATGTTGCAAATTCTTGATTCTGTGTGCTCATCGATGATGGAGGGTTGTCATTGCTTCTTCTTCCCTGGTGAATGAAGAATACCATATCGGAATCCAAAAAACTCAAACACAATGCATCAAATTTCAAACCCAAACTCACCTCTGTTTTCTCAGAAAATGCACCAAACCATATCAAATCTTGAGTTACTATAACGAATTTGGTTTCAGTTTATATGATGAGTTCCCTACTAATTCAGATCAAGGTGTATTGTTTCCTTAACTCCTTCTGCAACAAATACCCTTTTTCCTTCTTTTAACATAATAACGAGGAATACAGAGCAAAAAATTGTATAGAAGAATCTAAACACTACAGTAGAAGAACACTGGAATAGGTTTGTACCTGTGAAACTGAGGACGATAACGCCAACAATAAAACCAAGAAATTGGATTCTCTTCTTCTGGAAATCCATAACACGCGCTCAGATGATAACCCTAAGACCCCTACTAATCGAACTGATCTTGGAGTGTCTATAAGATTACCGATTCATGAATTTGAAGCAAGGTATCGATTCGTCACCACGCCAGAATCTGGAACTGCTCTCTAGTTCGATTTATCTTTTGGTCAATCGTCGGCGGCTATTGGCGTAAGAGGGAAGACTATTATTATCACACCAGAAGAAATGGTTAAAATGGTACCGGTAAAAAAAACAAATTTGGATAAATAAGAACGCATTATTATTAAATTATTTATCGTAATATCTTATTTTTATTATACGCTTATAGCAACATTATTTATAGATATAACTGAAAAAATAGTTCCTGTGGTATGTATTTTTTTTGGGGTTCTAGTTCAAACCACAATTTTTTTGGATTGTTAGTCCTTTTGAACTAGTTTGTACGTGGAAAATGTCCCTCCTCAAATTGAAAAGAGTAAAATACCCTTAATATATTTATTTTTCATTTTTCTTTCTTTTTTAACTGTTTTATAATTAATAAATAAATACAAAAATGACTCTCTCTCTCTCTCTCTCTCTCTCTCTTCCAATTTTTCTGTAAGTTCACCCCCTACCAGATTGGAATTACCATCTCCGTCGAGACCAAGCATCCACCTTTGATGGAGCCTCCACCGGTAACAAGTTTCACTCCTCTTCACCATTTCTTCTTCTTCTACCTAATCTAAAAATTTGATCTCCACCATTTGACTAGGGGCACTGAGAACCAGATAACGATGATAAAGAATTACACGCAAATCGGTGATAGGTATGGCGGTTCATAGAGTCGGAGATGTAGCCATATGGAACAAATCAATTAGTCATCAATAAGATGTGTTTGCATCGAGGATTAATCTGTTAATGACGCTAAAAAGAAGAATGGATCAAAACATGTTGCAAATTCTTGATTCTGTGTGCTCATCGATGATGGAGGGTTGTCATTGCTTCTTCTTCCCTGGTGAATGAAGAATACCATATCGGAATCCAAAAAACTCAAACACAATGCATCAAATTTCAAACCCAAACTCACCTCTGTTCCTATTCTCCGGTTATAAATCCAAGCAACCTCCCTCACCACCACAGACGGTTGCCACCGCCTCCACCTCCTTTTCTCATTCACAATTTGCTACCAAGCACCCCTAAATGTTGAAATTTTAGTTGTTTTGTTTCTCCCGGTTTATTGTTGCTAGCGACAAGATGAAAGGACCAAAGAGACCTTGATAGATATCGACTCCTTTCCCCTCCTCGGTATTTACCAGCCACACCAAAACTCCCATGTATGAGGACGAAGATGCTGACCCATTCCTCAACCCTCAGGCTTCAAGCCCCGAAACGGAACACATTTTATCGAGATTCATCTCCAGGGATGGTGATATTCAAGTTCTCATCAGAATATAGGTCGAATTTGGGGAAATGACCCCCCCCCCCCCCATTTATGGATCATATGAAGTAGGAACGAGCGAGATCCATGGAACTATCGGGAGGTGTTGTTTTTGTCGTCGATGGGGATGAGAACACAAACAAGAACTTAATCAAACAAATTAATCAAACACAGATAAATCAATCAAATTTATGTTCTAATCGGACTGAACGAGAATAAGACCCACAATCAAGAACTTAATTTAACCTTCTGGCCTAATTTCACATGAAAACACAAACAAAATCAATGTTATACCATCAATAAATGTGGATCTAGACTAGAAATAATTAGTTACATATCCAATACAATGTCAATTTTGGATATCTATCAGATGGAGAGATGAATGAGAAGGACATCAAAGATGGTGGTGGTAGTCGGTGGAAAGGAGGTTGCAGAAATCGATCTCTCGGATTGAAGTGGCGATGGTCATCAACGAGGAAGAAGGCAACAAAGGTGGTCATCGATGTAAGGGAAATCGGTGGTTGTTGCTGTCGTAATATGGAGGTTTGGCATAGGGTCTTGGTGATCGGAGGTGGTGGGAGGCGAGGGCTTTCAAGAAGTTGTGGACTTTGATGGTAGGGGTGACGGTATGGAGAGAGAAATAGAGAGAGAGGGAGAGAGAGAGAGAGAGAGAGAGAGAGAAAGAGAGAGAGAGAGAGAGAGAGAGAGAGAGAAGAGAAGGAGGGGGTATGTGGGTCCAATATAATTATTTATTTTCTTTTTCATTTAAAGTAAATAGAAAAAACATAAAAAAATATATCAGAAGGGCATTACAATCATTTCAATTTACTGAGGGACTAAAAACGCAACGAAACTACCTCAAAAGGATCACCTATCCAAAAAAGTTGTGGTTTGGACTAAAACCCCAAAAAAATGCATACCACAGGGACCGTTTTTGCAATTTTGTCTTATTTATATAACGATTACTTTTTTTTCTCGGGGAAGGTTTCCTGATGAGGGTTTTAGGGTTAATTTTTGTTCACCGACTAATCCTCGTTGTAAACATGAAGCAGAACCCTTAAATTTTACATTTTAATAAGAAAAATAATGAAATTAGACATTATAATTACAATTAGATAGATTTTTTAACGTAAATGTTTTAATCAAAATATTGGAAGTAACAATAAAAGGTTATGATATATAAATAATTAGATAAGATATTATAATTTCTTGTAGTTCTTTTAAAAACAATTATATTTAATAAAAACAGAACATCAGTTATTTCTATCATAAGTTTTAACTTTACTTACGATTTAACAATTTAACTACATAATTTTAATAGATATATTTTTAATAGAGTAACATCAAACCATACATTCAAATCCAAACACTTATTGGTTGATGGAATTATATAAACTCACATATGTTGTTTGATTTTGGTTAAAGATTATGTTAGAAATCACGGTTAATAAAGGTTATGATATTTAGAATTTGGATTTTGAGAAAATGATGTTAGAATTTTTTTTTTTTTTTTAACTATATTTTAAACATAAATGCTTAGATTACACGAAATTAATTCAATGATATTTCATATGAATGCTTATGAAATTAATTTAAGAATATTTTACATGAATGATTGCAATCCTTATTAAATTCGTATAAATACATGTGTGAAATTATAGTCTCTAAGAGAACGTGGAACATATGTGTACACTCATTATTTGTACCTATAGTTCCACCTCGATTCCTCAAATGGATAAGTGTACAAAATAGCAGTTAAATACGATTTTCAGATGGTTTTTGATAATTACCACTGAGAGAAGTCGCATTAGTCGTTAGGACATCGGTAGCAAGTGATACATTAATGATTTAATCGCTCATCAATTTGAAACACACCTAAATTTGGATTTTTTTATGCCAAATTACATCTTAAGACATACGATTTCTACAAAATACACAAAATGACATGTATGTACATTGTACAATGATGAAGTTAATTCCACTATACAAATACATAGCAAAGATACCATTAGGCGCCTCGAATCCCAAACATATCACTAGTCTAAATTGCTAACATTTGAGGTATAAAAACTCATTTCAATAAATAAATATGTAATCGACCAAGCCCGTACAAGTATCATGTCTTTAATTATTGAATAAATTTTATAGTCGAATCATAACTTCTAGAAAAATTATCTCCAATAACAATTAAAAGATGTAGCTCTTCGGACTTCGGAATATCAAATATCGTTGAACATAAAAAAAAAAATAATAATAATAAAAAAAAAAAAAAAAAAAAACACGCACACAAAATGGTTCTTATGATTTACAAAATATACCAAATATAGTCCTACCTAAATTTTTTAACACATATGGTCCTTTTATTTTTAATTTCTTATATAGTTTTTTTTACTAACTTTGTAAAAAGAAGGGTTAAATGTTTGTGGAAATATCACTTTACCCTCTTTATGTAACACCCCTCGCTAGGGTCTAGTTGAAAACATGCTTAAGATAAAACATTGTAGAAATATTCATAAATCTAGAGTTTATGATTTTTGGAAAAACACTTTGGTTACAAAACAGTAAACTTAATCAAGTTTGAAAATTAATAAGGTTATCAAACCATGGTTTGAGTTCCCCATAAGTTGGGATCTTCATAAATCGGGGTCTTCTAAATTATCTTGCATATCTAATGTAACGTCCCAAAAATTAAGACTAAAAACTTCGATTTTTAAATTATTAAATTATTATCCAAAAGGCTATCATCAAAACCATAGTGAATCAAATTGTATCAATAACATCTAAATACATCAGAGTAATATAAAATGTGGAGCGATGTGGTATGTGCACTACAATCATCACGGGTTATTCCCTTTCAACCAGAAGTATCTGAAACATAAACAGAAAATTGGAAGCACAAAGTTTTATGAGTTCCCCAAAATACCACATACCATAGACATTAAGCATATTATGGGCCCAGTCTGTAACACCCTGTTTATTAAGTAGATGAATAGATAAAAAAATTAATTAAGAAAGAATAGTAGCCCTAAAATCCATAATATTCATTAAGATGTTGGTTTTGGAAGCCAAATGTTATAATTTGGATTATTCAGGGGCTAAAGGGTAATTTCTGAATTTGTTTTGCAAAAGATCCTCAAAGTGGAGGGCTTTTTGGGTAAATTATGGATCTTAGTTTGGATGGAACTTTAGGTAAAGGGTTAAGCATGTAAGGTGACCAAACATCAGGGACTATTTATGCCTATATGTGGAAATTAAGTATCTGGTCCCCTGTTAAACGACAGAGCGTGAGGGAGGAACCTGTATCTGCTCTTGTTGCCTCACCCGCATCATCAGATTATAAGGAGCAAATCCTTAGATGGAATGAAGGGAATATATGTCCTTAGGCGTTAAGAGAGATGGAGAGAGGGAGTAAGAGAGAGAGGTGTGAACGAGTTCCATGACCAAGAGGAATTCGGAGATGAGGAGGTTGCCGCCACCAGGCTATGGCGTCCTTTGGAGCTCTTACTGGAGTATTTGTTGAGAGAAAGAGGTGGTGGTAGACTAGCGAGAACGGAATCAATCCTTCAGCACCCACTCTGCTCGACACCGTGAACCCGATGGGGAGGCGTCTTCTAATGGTTGCGTTACTCTCCCACATTTACGTGGGTCTCCGATGAATCCCATATGTTCAGAAGTGAAACTAGGTAAGACTTGATTCACCCCTTTTTATTTCTTATATCTCATTGGTGATTTCGATTAGAGAAAGGTTGATTGATGGGTTTTAATCTTGTTCCTTTGGTCTAATGATTTTCCGGCAAGTTGTATTGCCGACGGCAGCGCTAAAAGCCATTAATGGCAATGACGATTAGTAGGGTGTTGACCTTCGTTTTGCTCTTGAGGAAATCACGGTGGCGCCTTCAAAGAATCAAGAAACGGGAGATGGATTTGATAGCCCCGTTCCTCTCTAGAGACGATGAAGGAGACTGTTGAGTGCTTCTAACCAACGATCACTGTGCGCAGGAAATGGGAGCTTCGCCGGAGGTGAGGCTACCACTGGAGTGGAAATGTGGAATTGGTCATGGAGGGAGGCGCTGTTTGGCATCGAAGTTGGGAGCGATGTAGGTACCGGCTCCCTTAACTCCTCTATTTGGATACTTAGGCCCGATTTCTAGTGGGATAACGAATTGTTTATTGGGCTGGTAACCAATTAGCTAGATGATGAAGCTATCTAGTATTGGACTTGGAATTTGGATTTGCAATAGCAAGGCCTTATTTTGGGTTAATTATATTTTTATCATGTGAATACTTAATATAGACATTGTTTATTTAATTAAGGTTTGGTGTAAGTACTTATATGAATATGGTTATTCAATGCGGACCGAGTAATATTAGCTAGCGACATTTAAATGTGATTTACGTTGAGGAGATTGCCAATTATATGTAATTGAGCTTATCTAAGACATATCCTATAACAAATGAGTGAGGGTGAAATAAGTCTACCCAAGCTGTTGGGACATTGAATTGATATGGGGTTAGACACCTTACTTTTAATCAAGACATTTATAATATTTTATATTAAACTGTGTATTAAGCCCAATCACACCATATGATTTATTTAGAAGAGTGATGGATTTAATGGATTAAGTCCTTAATGGGTTAAGTGAGAAACACGTAACCCTAATCGTCATTATATGTGAAACCCTAATTTCTCTTGGGTTTATTATTGGGCCTTTCTATTGGGCCTAAATGATTGAGATGATAATGGACCATCCAAGAACAAGCAATTGAACTAGAATAATTTAATGGGCCTGGGGTAAGGCCCGTGTAAGGGGTTTGGGCCCAATTTGGAAAACTGGGCCATAAATGAGCCATAGTTTGGGTCTTAATGATTATATAATGTTGGGCCTTAGAAGAAGACCATATATAGGCTTGGGTCCAATTTGGAAAACTGAGCCATATGTGGGGTATTGATTCCTATTTGACTTTGGGCCTACGGATTGGGCCTTGGGCTTGAATAAGCCAAGCTTGGGGTAATGTAGTAATTATCCAAAGTAAGTGTTCATGGTTATGTAGTGGGACCTAATTATTAATTGGGTTATGTTTTGATATTGACAGATCGTGAATCTGTCATCCAACAACTGGGGTTGAGTCAGCAGGATTTCAGTAGTACGGGGTTGAGTCTACGGGACTTCAGCAATGTGAGGTGAGTTACCTTTAGTAGCGGTGGGTCTACGGCCACAATACCGGCCCACCAGTAGGAGTTGTTGTTAGATGATTGTCTTTGTGATAATTGTCTATGTTTGCTACTATATGTTATGTTTATGTGCTAGCATGATATGATGTTATGTGATAGTGGTAGTAGGGGGTGAAATAGTCCACAGTTACCGGTCGAGAGGACCGAAGGGGAGCCTAGCACCCAGGTATGCTAAGCAGTATCCGGTCGAGAGGACCGAAGGGGAGGCCAGTACCCAGGTATGTTAGGCAGTATCCGGTCGAGAGGACCGAAGGGGAGACCAGTACCCAGATATGCTAGGCAGTATCCGGTCGAGAGGACCGAAGGGGAGCCCAACACCCATGTATGCTAGGTAGCATCCGGTCGAGAGGACCGAAGGGGAGGCTAGCACCCAGATATGCTAGGCAGTATCCGATCGAGAGGACCGAAGGGGAGCCCAGCACCCAGGTATGCTAGGCAGTATCCGGTCGAGAGGACCGAAGGGGAGGCTAGCACCCAGATATGCTAGGCAGTATCCGGTCGATAGGACCGAAGGGGTAGGTCGGGCACCCAGATATGCCTGACAGTATATGTATGTTATATGATCGTATGGTATGTAGTATGATGGGGGAACTCACTAAGCTTCGTGCTTACGGTTTTCAGTTTTGGTTTCAGGTACTTCGCGTTTAAAGGAAAGGAGTCGGCTTGATCGCAGCGCATCACACTATAGTTTTCCGCACATGAGATCTTTGGGATTACGCTCTGATGTTGTTTTATGATAACATGTTTAATTATTTCTACTTTGGTTTTGACATGACATGATAGTACAAATGTTTTATTACACTGTTGGTTTTATAATGACGTATTTAAAAATGAATTTTTGGCCTGTATTTTTGGGATGTTACACCGTCCGTCATCGGGTCCCGCTTAGCATCGCGCCCCGCTCAGAACAGATTTTTCAGTCATCAGACCCCACCTGACATAGGGCCCCGCCTGGTATACATAGAACAAATAAGCATATAATTATATAAACACATGCAATAATCACAAAGGTAAATAACATACAGGATAGTCATCGGGCCCTACCCTGTAAACATATAAACACATAATACATGCAAGAGTCACGCAGACAACTAACATCATACATGTAATAAACCTTGGGCCGGCATTGGTACCTTCGACCCGCTAAACATGGTGAGGAAACTCACCTCTAGCTGTTAAATCTCTCAAATAAATCTCGGTCTGCTAGTCAGGAAAATCCTCGCGCTTACATCATCAAATAATATCCTACTAATAATTGAATCTCGACCCATAATCAAGGCTCTAAGCTGCTTGTCCAATATCCAAGGTAAAAGAACATTTTACCCTTTTTCTTGATTGGCCCAACCCATTTTCTCAAAAGGCCCAAATTCCTAAATGTCATCACAAGGCCCAATAAGGCCCAAATTCCAAATTTGACCCAAAAATCATCATGGACCTAAACCCAAAAAAGTCCATAGTCTATCCATGGCCTAAAGTTAGAAGTCCAATAGCCCAACAAGGCCCAAATCATAAAAGCCCAAAATATGGCCCAAACTAAAGGTCAATCTGCTGAGTATGTGGGGCGTACTCATCTTGTATGCTTAGCGTACTCCTTCCGGGGCCAGTACGTGCAGCGTACCAGCTGGGTACGCCCAGCGTACTCCCCAGATTACCAACACAACCCATTAAGCACTTAATTGGTTAAACCAACATGCTAAACTCTCAGATCTAATTCTAAATGGCGACTTAATACATAAAGTTGACAACTTTACACCCATGCATGGATTAATAGGGGGCAATACTAAAAAAGAAGCTTAATAAGACTCTTAACACTTGCATGGACCAATATATCTCATAAAGTTTACATTTTCATGAACAAGGGACCTTCATAGAGCTAAGATCTAACATATATGGCTTCTGGAGTAGATTAAAAACTCAACTTTAGCGCAAAAAACCCAAAAATGCATAAATAATGCCCTAAGTAGGATCTAGCATAAAGAATCATCAAGATTGGAGCTTTTTACCTCAAATAACTTGCTAAGATGAAGATGACCCTGGATCTACAAGCCCATACTACTCCCAAGCAACCACCAAGTATTTTTTTTTTCTTCTTCACTAGAAACACCACCAAATCTCACTTTCAAGCTCAAAATTCACCAAAAATGCACTAGGGTTTCATTCTTATGATACAGGGTGATGGAGTTGATTAATAGAATGTCTAAAGGTGGTATAAGTTGCTTAAATATGGTGCAAGCCCTAAAAATTAAGGTTTTCCTCTGCACCACGTACACCATGCGTACTCCACGTACCCCCCGCGTATGTGGGTGAATCCTACATCCAAAAAAGAGCTAATACAGTAACCGTCCTTCGGCTCATTACCCCAAATAACTCCATGTAATTTTGCATTAAGGGGCTAAAAGGGGAACATACCAAATTACGAATGTTACAATTCTCCCCCAATTGAATCAAACTTTATCCTCAAAGTTCATTGCCCCAAATAACTCCAGGTAATGCTCCTTCATATCGTCCTCCGGCTCCCACGTCCATTATGAACCCTTGTGATGCTGCCACTGGACTTTTACTAACTCAACAACCATGTTCCTCAAGGTTTTCGTCTTCCGGTCAAGAATCATCACCAGTCTATCGATATAATTCAGACGGTCATCCACCTAAATATCCTCCAATGGAACCACCATGGAATCATCCACTAAACATTTCCGCAACTGAGACCCAAATTGAATGATGACCCAAATCGAATGATGACCCAAATCGAATATACTCCGCGCGTAATCCGGGGCAACTTCGTAATGAAATCCATGGTAATCTCCTCCCATTTCCAATTGGGGATATCTAACGGCTGCATCTTGTCGTAAGGTCGTTGATGCTCAGCCTTGAATTTCCTACAAGGCAAGCACCTCTCCACGTACCAAACTACATTGCGTTTCATACAGGGTCACCAATAATCAGAACGAAGATCTCTATACATCTTCTTCGCCCCGAGATGAATGGAAAATCTCGATTTGTGCGCCTCCTCCATCAAAACCTGACACCCACCAGCCCAATACAGAAACCCACACTCTCCAATGAATAGTCAATAACCCTCACTTATCGTAATCAAAGGCTGTTACCTAACCCACTATGCGTTCACTCTTCTGGAGCTCTTCCTTCATAGACTCAACCTGGGTCTCTCAAATCTGCTCCAAAAGTAGAGTAATCACGGTCATCCTAAAAAAAATATCCTTGATCGGAGTCACGAATGCCTTGCGGCTAAGAGCATCGACCACCAAATTGGCATTCCATGGATGGTAAAGGATTTCACAATCATAATCATTCACCACATCCAACCACCGACGTTGCCTCATGTTCAGATTTGGCTGATCCATCCGATACCTCAGGCTCTTGTGATATGTGTAAATAGTACAGTGGGGCCCTCTTTCTATCTGTTGCATAAACTAGAAAGATGACATACACACAGTTAACACGTTCGTCTTTTTTATTTATTCATAGGTTTGTTTTCTACACCACTCCAACCTCTTGCTTTGCATTTTATACGATTTTTGTTACTGTTTTCTTCTTTTCCCTCATTTTTTTCACCATTTTCTGTTTTTATATATATATATATATATATATATATATATATATATATATATATAGCTTTTGTGTGCTTACTTTTTTCTTTAGGGCTATCTTGATGTTGATTTTGGGTTTTTATTGAACACAATTATGATATGTGTTGTTCTTGTCAACTGACATTCACTCAGTACCTCAAGAACATCTAACACCATCTTGCAAATACCATTTTTATGGTATCAACAGATGAAGATAGACAAAAAAGGGAATAAAAAAGGAGTCGATTTGCATCAGGTAGCAATTCAATCTTCAAATATGTTTCTTGCTAGATTTTTTTTGTTGGTTAGTGATGGAACAAGTAATATGATAGTTAAATATATCTCTTTTTTGTATTTGCTTTTAGTTGTAGAAAACAATAGAATATACAAAGAAGTTGTCGTCAAAAGATATTAGGTGAGTTATCCATAGTTCAGATTGATTGAGTAGTTGGTAAAAATAATATAAAAAAGCGGTCAACATTTATCTATATGATCATAAAAAATAGAAGTGGTCAAATAATTTTATAATTTTGCCTCTAAAATAAAATGGAACTTTTCTTTTGGACTAAAAAAGAGTATCGAAAAACTCCCAAAATAAGATGCCCAACACTCAGATGAACACGCTCATTAAAAAATAAAAAATGCTTTTATTTTTTTACTGTTTTTTTAATATATTTGTCCTATTTTATGTAGATACCAACAAATTTCTTTCATGTTGATCCTCATCCTAGAAACCTTGCAATTGGCTTGGATGAATAATGAATCATGAATCATTAATATACTATGATGAGGGAGATTAAATCCTTGACCATGAAAATTTTGATAGATCTTTTCATACAATTTATGAAAAAGTTGCAAAAAATGTATGAATTTATTTATTTATTTTTCTAATACTGTAAAACAGGGACACCATAATGTAGTTTTTTAGGTACTCGAATAGAATTTATATTTGGATTAAGATTAAAAAGTGTTATGTTATCATTACAGATTAAGAACAATTTCATAAGTCTTGAAGCGCTTCAACTCATTGGAGACATGTCGTCAATATGTAAAAGTTGAGAGAAGAAGTGTGAGAAAAATATTTGAAGCTATGGAGCATTTGAGGTTATTAGGTATGTATTGTATGTAGTTCTTTATTTTATATTCATATCATTAAGCCGTTATTAGATGCTTAAGCTATTGAGACAAAAAAAAATTGTAATGACTGTGTACTATCAAAGTTTATTATCAGGAAGATTTGGGATTTTTATGTATAAAAGGTTGATTATCAAAACAAAATATATCCACTTCTAAGAATTTTTAAAATTTATATATTTTTCAATATAACCAACGAAAGAATGGTGTTTTGTCATCAAGTTCCATTTGGCCTTATTTCTTACTTTCTTAGATAATATACCATCGAGATAATGGGATACAATCCCCTTCACTGGAATAAAAAACCAAGCGTGAGACACTATACTTGGGAATCTTTGTAGTTAGGTCATTCTTAAAATTCATACATTTGAAGACCAAACGTGTTCTAACCTTATTCCATAATATGTATGCTTTATAAAAGTGCAATTCTTATCTGATTTATATGGTTGTATAACTTTGTATTTTTTAACAGAAGCAAGAATCGGACATGATGAGAGCCGAAGTATGTGTAAAAGGGATATGAAAGTGGATGTTACCCAAAAATGGATGTTGGAAAATCAATTCCACATCCTTCACTTGCATTAACCAATACATTTGTTTTCCAAGATCCAATATAGTTAAGTCGGATGCATATGTTGTCAAAAAGGATCTCAAGTTTGGCTTATTTATTTATTTTTAATTTCCTTATAGGTAAATTGAGATTTACATTATTAAAATGATGTATGTGTGAAGTAAGTATGAACAAAGAGCATTTCTTTTTTGCAGCCATCTAAAGTTTGGTAAATGACCCTTTTACACTTATTTTTTAGGGCGTTTTATTTTCATTTTTTTGTAAAATCTTTGAACTTTTGCATTATAGGAGTATTGATTATGGACTGCACATCTATACGAATTATTCTAACTTCTTGACAGCTCAATATGAAATTACCTTATAGGAATTCGACATTCAAAAATCTTTTTAACTTGCCACCAAATGAATTTCTCATCGGTGATTTTGACATTCTCTCCATGAGAAAATTAGCCCTTCATGTATACTCGGACGGTTTGATTTGATTATGGACTGCACATCTACATAAACTGGTTCCTTATTATAGTTTGTAATTTCAATTTTGAAGAGTAGACTCTTCTTATATTCAAGAACTGTTGAGTTTTATGCCAACTTATTGGTACACAAAACAAGGTTTTCATTGCAACTGTTTTTTTATTCTTTTATTTGTTCTTGTAGTGTTTGATATAAAATTAGATGAGTTAGGCCAATGTTATGAGCTATCATTTAAGGTTTTATACCAATTGTAGCCTTGTACTCCGAATTTTTTTTTCATACAACAAAATTATGTTGTTTTTTCTTTTGTTTAATCCCAAAAAGAACTTAAATGAAAATGAAAAATAACAGATAATTCAACTACGAAAACAACTTATAACATTTTAGATTCTAAAGGATATTTGACAGTTTTCATATAGGTCACACTCGTGTTCTCCAGGTTAAAGTTTTTTGTCAACTCAAGAAAAATAAGTATTTTGCCCATTGATTAAAATTGACTTATATTTGGAAATATGTATAAATTGATACTAATACCGTTAATAAATGTTATGATAAACACACGACACACAAACACAAGAGTGTTGTCGTAACTTGAGTTAGAAATAGATTTATTTACAATATTCTTGAAAAAGCATTTATGTTATTTGCTTATGTCCAATGATCGTCGACACCAGTCTTTGGTAACTTCATCACCTTAGAAAGTTGAACAATAAAATCAGAGAGGAGGGTATTGTAAATATCATATATGTCTGGAACTAAGAAAATCAATGGGTGCAATAAAAAATGCAAAAGAGCTTGAAGGAATAATTCTTTTTGAAAGGTTAATTTTAAAAAAATATAACATGTTGCGATGAGTCAAATGTAATACTCATAAGAGTTTGAGGACCCTCCTACACCAATCATATTATTATTATTACAAATCAATAAAACATTAACTCGAAGAAAATATAAAAAATTGTAATTTTTTTGAAAAAACATGAACTTGCTGGAAGATGATTAACAAATCGACTAATAGCACTAAAAGCTCCAAATGTAGCACCAATTTGTATTGCATTAATTGATACATCAATAAGAAAGAAAAAAGACAACCGGCATTGGTTCCCAAACCTAAGAAGAGTATAAATTAAAAAGATATCATATTGAAGGTACTCATATGTGACAATGTCATCCAACTAATAAAACAAAAAAAAGTTGTTTACAGAGAGATCCTTCATCGGTTATAGATATTCAAACATTTCATTGTTTTTTTCAATGTTACCACTAAAACTACTTCTATTTCTATTACTTTCTTTAATTATTGTGCCAACTTTTTATATTTTGATATGTATTTTTTATATGTTACCCGCGTTTTATGCGGGTCATAATCTAGTAGAACCTGCAAACAAAAACAAATTTAGTAGTCATTAATTCAGTTCCTATATAAAATAGATAATTAATAAACTTAACTAACCATATCCACATCCTTCCATTTAGGATGGCCTCCGACACCATTTGCTATATTCCTAAGAAAGAAATGTTTTTCCGTTTTGCAAATTAAGTTCTCGAGGGAATATCGTCCACCTTGCGTTCGCCGACCGTCTTTCCATGAGCAAGTCACTACATATCGCAATATGATGTACATTTTAAGATACAAATATTACAGTTTTTATATAAATTATCGTCTAAAAATATAGTTAAAAATTATATTTAACGAATGTTACCTAAGAAAATAACCACTCAGCGTCAATAACTACACGTAGCCTCGACCAAAACTCCACATCCAATGTGAGCATATGCACCCTATGTTTGGTGTTTAGGTTGGAAGAGATCCTATTCCATTCTTTCTAAAAACTCAACACACTGGCAGCTTCAACACTGTCGAGCAGGAGATGATTTGAAACATCATTACTCTCTTCATTCACAATGTCTTCATTTGTTTTTTCAGGACTCTTCACCACTTTTTTTTCTTTGCTTTGGTGATTTTCTTCAATTTTAGTGTGGATTGCAACTAAAAAATTAACATGTTAAATAATTATCAATACGTTAATATTTTAAAAATACAGCAAATTAAAAATATGAGCTTTGTACCACTGTGAACGGAGTCCGATGATACCATGGAACACCCATCTTTCATTGCAGCCTAACAATAGGAGTCATTTCTTTTGTGTGATGTTCACCCACGTCCGATGACGGCTCAACATGCGTAGGTGTAGGCCCAAATTCCCCCTCCAAACCATGAGTACCTATATCATCATAGTCAAAATGTGTATCATGGTAATATTTTTCTTCCTCCTTTTCATTTATCATCTCTTCCTCCTCCTCCACCTCTTACCCTCTGTCTGGTTCAACATTTGTGTCTAGTTCATCTCTTGTTCTGTAATACACAGTCTACTTTAGAACTTAAGTCAGCCACACCGCCTAGTAAACGCTTCACTAATGCCTTTGTGCTTGTCTTCTTCTTCTTTATCAATCTTGATGTGTCGTTTGACATATAACGTGTTTCTATTTCAAGATGTTGCGAGGATGAAGTATTTGTGGCAGATTCAGTCGAACATGTTTCTATTTCGGACTTGTACATCCTTCTTCGAGCGGGCGAGGCAACATGAGGTGGACTATTTTCAGACACGACTATGTTGTCGTGGGGGAGACTCTACAGGGTTAAGAGTCCAATTGACATAACGAGCATAAAACGAAAACATCAACTCCTCCGGGGTTGCCATGACATTAATATGTTGGTTGTTAGACTGTAAAAATCAGATTGTTAGTTTAACATGAAAATACATTGGAATTTGTAAATATAGATGACTGTTAATATAAAAACCATACCACAGACACGTTCATTATTCGACACCATTTAACCCAAGATAACGATGTTTTACTTCTCCACGCCCTCACCCGTGACAATTCTGTTGGCATGCGTATATAAAACTTGATTGCCTTTGGGAACGTCTCCAAAATCCATATCTATGAAAAAAAAATGTAAGTATCGTTCTATTATACTATAAAAGTCATGTTGCAAACTTATTATATAATACAAAACGAAGTTCAAAATTTTATAATATAAAAAACTAAACAATGATAACTATTTAAATGCATTAGAAAGTAACCTAAAACGGAAGCATAAAACCGGGAACGGTATACTTGTGTACTTTCTTCGATTCGGGATTGGCCTGCTTCAATACTCTAAAATCTTCTATTTTCTTAAACATTCCACGCATCATACGCGAAGTATATTTACATAAATACGTACCCCATGAAAACCTGCAATTTCCAATTTATTTATTATAATCAGTGCATTGCATACTACTGCGGAAATGCATGTTTTAAATGTAATACTTGTTCCAATCATCTATATTATCAGCAAGCTTGTATACTACTGTTGGAATGCCCGTTTTAACGTCCCGTCCATGTAGACCCTTCAATATAAAAACAAGTTGGATAAGCATCACAACATCTTCATCTTGTAGTGCCAAATAATTCGGGGACATAATCAAGTCTTCTAAATCTTTCAGCCGCAAACGTGCATCAAGAATATCAGGGAACAAGCGAGCACGAAGATTTGAATATGACTGACCCTTTTCGTCATGGAGTAAATCCATATAAGGACCAACTTTTAAACCACAAATGAGAATATATTCAGTTTCACCAAAATTCAACTGGATCCCCTCTATATCAAACAAAAACCTCCCCATTTCAAATATTTTTTGACTCATTACTTCATGCAACATCATCATATGCATAAATAAGGGATCACCATGTGGGATATGCATCCCTAAGAATATTCCAAAGGGGAAAGCTTCGAATAATACTCGTTGTGATTGTGTTAGACACGAAAAAATAGTCTTTAATGATAGTCCCCACCACACCTTTCAAAGTTAAATCCGCTTTTTGATTGAGATCTTTGTGCTACACAACAAAAAAAATCTTATTTCATTTAAAACATTACTAATTGAAAATAAAAAACAAGCTTCCAAAATTACTTTTCTAATTCGATTTATGAAATAAATAACAACATACTTTTATATATAACTAAATACACAAAATTACTTCCAAAAACCAATTTTTATATCATTCTGCGGAGGCCTCTCTGCGGAATGACCTATAGCCTCCGCGGAGACATGCATTTTTTCGTTTATAACATTCCGCGGTGCACCCTCTGTGGACTGACATCTCCCTCCGCGGAATGGATCATCCCAAAATTCGTCACTGTGATTTGTAAACCTAAAAATTCTAAAAGTGTACACATATTCAATGTAATAAAATGGGTTTTCCTCTAATTTGAATAATATTCGACATTTTCGACATTAATTATTAGATGAGAATGTGAGAAATACCCGGGAACCGTATCTACCGGGCATAACATCGGGGATATCGTGGTCCATCGGTGACGGATTTCAAGTGCTTTATACTCGATTTCGCCTGAGTATTTCGTCGGAGTTGAAGTTGTTTGAGTATTCCGCCAGAGTTGAAGTTGTTGCCGGATTTGAAGTCTTCGATGATTGACTACGCGAGCCGATGCGGAGTCACGAACCCAAACGGGGACCAGTGGGGACCAAAAGAGGACCCGTCGATTTTGTCAGAAAAATGGGTTGAAATTACGAAATTAACCCCTCTTCGCGGAGATTTCATGGTTCCACGGAGTTTATGTCTGTAGCCGAAAAAATCTAATTTTATGACTAAATTTAAAAATTGACCTTTTTTTTTTTTTTTTTTTTTTTTTTTAATTTGTAGCCCTTTAATAAAATCACATAGTCAACTAGTACAATTTTGTGATTTCGACAAAACTAACGGAAGTTTGGTAACCGAGACGTCGAAAGGAGTGGGGGGTTTATGGAGGGCTTTAGGCCGAACAAGTCAAATGTTAATAGTATAGTTTCTTGTTCTTCAAGCTCGTCGTCAATGGCGGTCGTTCACTCTGCCCAATTTTCACATTAGCTTTGGTAAATAACCGGGGCAAAGCGACAACCATCACGGAATTCCAATTTCTTCACCATCGATTCAATCAAGTCCACATGTTGAAGGCTTTAAGGTCTTCTTCGTGCTTACAACAAGCTCGATTTACCACAGGAGCTTCGTGTTTACAGTATAATTCACGCCATGTAACCAAATTGACTTCATCTTTTAATGGCGTGCTGCGCTCTGCTCTAGCGGATAAAAACCCTAAGTTGTTTCAAAGAGTGTTTTTCTGTTCGGATTCGAGTGATGGATCTGGTCCCGGGCCCGTATCCGCCATTGAAGAAGTCGAGTCCAAATCTACAGCGGCAATTGTTCCCACATCTATCAAAAAACCAGATGACTTTCTCACGGTTATCCCCTAATCGACTTGCTCATGTTTTTCTCTACTAGATTTATTTCATTTGCAAAATTAGAGATGCATTTCTGCTTGAGATATTGGTAATGTTTGTTTGACTGCTAGTTGGGTTGTGATTGATCATATCAGTTGCCAAAGTGATGACCTTAATGGATGTCGTGTGTATATGCCTATTCGATCTGTTACATTTGGAGCCATACCTGTCCATAAATAAAATTGAAACCATTTTCAATGTTCCAAAAAACTGAATCTTTCATCTTCCTTTTCTATTTGCAGGTATTAGCATTGCCATTGTCACACAGACCCTTGTTTCCAGGATTTTATATGCCAATATATGTTAAGGATCCTAAACTACTAGCAGCATTGGTAGAGAGTAGGAAACGACAGGCTCCTTATGCTGGTGCATTTCTTGTAAAAGATGATCCAGGATCTGAGGCCACAGGTTCAGATACAGAGAAGAACATATATGCACTAAAAGGCAAAGACTTACTTAATCGCCTCCATGAAGTTGGTACACTTGCTCAGGTATTTGTTGTGATGGAACTATTGTTAATCTATTATTCTAAACTTGTTGAGATTTTAAATAACTTATAACACCAGTTATCAACCAACATTTGATTCTTCTAATTAGATCACAAGCATCCAAGGAGAGCAGGTTGTTCTTATTGGTCATAGGCGGCTTAGGATAACAGAGATGGTCAGTGAAGATCCCCTTACTGTCCAAGTGGATCATATCAAGGTAACATCACATCATATCCTAAAATATATGGAGATGCAATAAGTTGGAATCTAATTTCATCATTATCATACTCTTTGGTGAAACTTGAATAAGGATTTTCTCTGTATTCCAGGATTTACCATACAGCAAAGATGATGATGTCATAAAGGCAACTTCATTTGAAGTGATATCAACCCTTAGAGATGTTCTCAAGACAAGTTCTCTTTGGAGGGATCATGCTCAAACTTACACTCAGGTTATTAGCTGACTTTTTTTAATAGTTGCACTAATTATTGAGAACAATAACTATATTTCTGAATTAACTTTTTTCTTTCTTTGTTTTTTATTTTTGGTTGAATTGCTTATTTTCTGCAGCATATGGGTGATTTTAATTATTCAAGATTAGCTGACTTTGGTGCTGCAATATCTGGTTCAAACAAAGTACAATGCCAGCAAGTGCTTGAAGAGCTGGATGTAAGTCACATTTAATGTTCCATAAAGGTTTTCTGCTTCTTTTTGCCTGAGTAAGTTTCTCAGATATTTTTTTCTCATTTTTACATTATATTCAATCTAGGTTTACAACCGGTTGAGACTTAGTCTTGAGTTATTAAAGAAAGAAATGGAGATACATAGGATTCAAGTAAGTCCTGGTAGCAATTTTACTTATATATTTCTTTTAAGAAGTTATTTATTTCTTGATACCATTTTTTTGTTTTACTTTTAGGAATCCATAGCAAAAGCTATTGAAGAGAAAATAAGCACCGAACAACGCCGTTACTTGTTAAATGAGCAGTATAAGGCTATAAAAAAGGTGGCTTCTGTTACTAATTCTTAGTCTCTCCATTTATTTGTCTTGTAGTATCATTGTTCTTTATGCTTCATTTTATGTTAGTCTTGTGTTGTGAGATTATGTATGCTTTCACAATTTAATATGATACATGATACCATTCTACAGGAATTAGGGCTTGAGACAGATGATAAAACAGCACTTACTGGTAAATTTCTTCTATTTGTTTATATGGAATATTATTTTTAACTAAATAACTTATAATCTTGAAATTATGTACTACAGATAAGTTTAGAGACAGAATTGAGCCAAACAAGGATAACATCCCACCTCATGTTCTGCAAGTTATTGAAGAAGAATTGAAAAAACTGCAACTTTTAGAAGCCAGTTCAAGTGAATTCAATGTTACACGTAATTATCTTGATTGGTTGACTGCCTTACCATGGGGTAACTACAGGTATGTTAACAAGCCTTCTGCTTTTGACCAATTATGTTATAAGTTATAAGTAAAAGTTGACTTTTTTAACCAACTTCAGTGATGAGAATTTCAACGTTGCACAAGCTCAACAAATTCTTGATGAGGATCATTACGGTTTAACTGATGTTAAAGAGAGGATACTGGAGTTTATTGCAGTGGGAAAACTAAGAGGAACATCACAAGGTTATTATTATTATTATTTTTTCAACTATGCTTCAACTGTGAAATGCAAAACTTAAATTATTTATTTATTTATTTTTGTTGCAGGAAAAATCATCTGCCTTTCTGGTCCACCTGGAGTGGGTAAAACCAGCATAGGTCGTTCGATTGCACGTGCTTTGAACAGAAAGTTTTATCGGTTTTCTGTTGGTGGATTGTCTGATGTGGCTGAAATCAAGGTCAAAAAGAGTTTTCATTAATACAATTGAGATTATTAGAAGTGGAATCTTTTGTATTAACATTTGAGATTGTTTTATACCAGGGACATAGGAGGACTTACATAGGTGCAATGCCTGGGAAAATGGTGCAGTGTCTGAAAAGTGTGGGAACAGCAAACCCTCTTGTTCTCATTGATGAGATTGACAAGGTATAAATGTTACATTTGTTTTAAATTGTTTCAAAATCGTTTGGAAACGGTTTTTAGAACTCTGGGATGATAATTTTTTACATGTTATGTTGGGTGCAGTTGGGTAGGGGACATGCAGGTGATCCTGCAAGTGCTATGTTGGAGCTGCTTGATCCAGAGCAGAATGCAAATTTCTTAGATCATTACCTTGATGTTCCAATTGACTTGTCAAAGGTTAGTGTCTTCATTTAGCAATTAATCAGTTAGTTAAGCATTCCTATAAATTGTAATTGGACTGTGAAATATATATGGTGCAGGTTTTGTTTGTATGTACAGCAAATGTGGTGGAAACTATACCCAATCCACTCTTGGATAGAATGGAGATAATTCCCATTGCTGGTTACATTACTGATGAAAAAATGCATATTGCCCGTGATTATTTGGAGAAGACAACCCGTGATGCTTGTGGCATCAAGCCTCAACAGGTCTCTCTCTCTCTCAAAAAAAAAAAAAAAAAGATAGTAATATAAATTGATAATGAATAACTGATCTCAATTTGAAAATATTTCAGGTTGAAGTAACAGATGCAGCTCTTCTTTCCTTGATAGAAAATTACTGCAGAGAAGCAGGGGTTCGAAATCTCCAGAAACAAATCGAGAAAATTTACCGCAAGGTTGACTTCATATTTGATCATTTTAATGTTTCAAAAGTGTGAAATAGCAACTTACTTTCATTATTTTATTTCATTTTTCCTATTACATTTACAGCATTGTAGTTTGAATTATCCACCCAATTATAGCAATATCATCTAAATACCAACCAATTTTCACAAG